CATAGAGAACAGTTAAACACGAAACCATCAGAACTGTTAGACATGTGATACTAAGTGCTACAGACATTCAAAGGAAGAAGAAATTGCTATAGCGTAGGGTGGGCTCAAAAGGCTTTCATGGAGAAATTTAAACTGGCTCTTGAGATATTGATTACATTCTTTCCTAAGATGGGCTGACCGAGAACCAATCAGTGTTCCACACAAAACAGACACGGTCATCTAAGCATACAACAGTCTTTTCTAGTATGTCTCCACTATCCCTCTTGAAAGTGCCAAATAATTCACTGGCCAACTCTGTCCACGGTACTATGTTGAGCCAAGGTCCCAGGGTAACCATATGCCACAGTTTGAGTTCTACTTGGTTACCAAAGCTTAAACTAAATCTTAATATTACTGTTATGCTAAAATAGAGTACTATACAACTAAGAACAACATGGTAACCGCTTCTTTACAATCACGGAGACTCTTACGTGAGCATTTAACCTGACTTTCCTGAAAAATTATTCATACCATGCGTACTCTGATCCGTTTTTGCAAACCCTAAGTCATTACTTGGATGGTCTCACACCAGCCTGTGTTAAAATTAAACTTGTCGGGGCACCTGGGTGGCTCAGTTGGTTAAGCGACTGCCTTCGGCTCAGGTCATGATCCTGGAGTCCCGAGATCGAGTCCCGCATCGGGCTCCCTGCTCAGCGGGGGGTCTGCTTCTCCCTCTGACCCTCTTCCCTCTCGTGCTCTCTGTCTCTCACTCTCTCTCAAATAAATAAATAAAATCTTTAAAAAGAAAAAAAAATTAAATTAAATTAAATTAAACTTGTCTAGGGCGCCTGGGTGGCTCAGTTGGTTGAGTGACTGCCTTCAGCTCAGGTCATGATCCCAGGGTCCTGGGATGGAGCCCCGCACTGGGCTCCCTGTTCTGCGGGGAGCCTGCTTCTCCCTCTCCCACTCCCCCTGCTTGTGTTCCCTCTCTCGCTGTGTCTCTGTCAAATAAATAAATAAAATCTTAAAAAAAAATTAAACTTATCTATTTCTCTTCCTTGCAGAGTCCTATGACCTCCTCTAAGTCTCCCTGCCCACATTGGCACTGTCTCCCCTCTCAGGACTCAAGGTGACCGAGCACAGGCCCTGGATGTGGGCCCTGAGCCACACGGCACTGTGAATGAATGCGAGGGAGCCAGGGCCTAGGTACACATCCTGACACAGCTCTCATCTCTGGCTAGCTCCACTCACCCCTCACTGGGCTTTTTCAGAAGAGGAAGGAGTAAGAGGCAAAGAAAGAAGGACCCAAAATCTGATCCAAGGCCAGCTGGAATAAGGATCAATTGGAAGAGTCCAGGCACAGATATTTAAATAGCTAGCCCTGATTCACATGGGAAGCAGCTTAATAAATCAACACAACAGAGTACATTTCCAAAATTCAGATGCCAGTTTCTCCAGGTCTGAAGGACATTTCTGACTTTTCCTTTAGGGGATAGCATGAGCATAAGTCAGAAACACCAAATTCAAATCCCGATTTGAACTTTAGTTTCTTTGTCTTTAAAGGGAGCCAGTCAGGCTAGATGACTTTTTAACTAGATGACTAATGATTTTAAAGGCGGGAGCACCACAAGTCTGAGAAAAATCAAAAGCAAACATCAGAGTCAGAATGGAAGGGACAATGGCTGTGGGTGGGGGGGGGATGCCTGGGTGGCTCAGTCGTTAAGCGTCTGACTCTTGATTTCCGCTCAAGTCATCATCTGAGGGTCGTGGATCTAGCCCCCACGTCAGGCTCTGTGCTCAGCGTGGAGTCAGCTTGTCGCTCTCTGCTCCTTCCCCCAAGTGTGCATGTCCTCTCTCTTGAATAAATATTAAAAAAAAAAAAAGGAAGAAGAAGAAGGGACAATGGGCCTGGAGAGCCTCTGGAAGATGATGATCAGATAGTTCCCCCAAAAAGATAACAGACTGAGAAAAACCCAGAATTGCTCTATAAGAATATCTTATAAATTTCTTCCTTCTAGGTTCTGCCTTATAGTCAAACACAGATCCATCTCTTCCCAGGACAGCTAAGAGTGATGCTTCATAGAATGGACATACCCACAGATGTCATCCCACATGGTCTACCTGGAAGGGATGGTAACTCAATCTTAACTACCTAAGGGAAATGAAAGATCCCAAGGAGTGCCCACCCTGACCTCAGTGACTCAGACAAGTATCTCATCATCATTTGGAGTCTCAAACTTCCTTAACGCACAGCCTAAAAACCTGAGTGAAGTTTTACAGTCTCTAGCTCTGTTTTATAGTCCCCAAAGTTTTATGAACACCCAACACGTTCTAAAGGCTCTCAGATACATTATTGTTATAAAATCGTAACTAGAGTTCAAGATGGCATTAAATATTTAAATAGCACTGTAGAAAATTTAACCCACAAAAATCTATGGCAGTTTCTCTAATAGTGCATTCATCTGATAGTCCCACACATCTTCACTTCTCCTGCCTCAATAAGGTCCCTGTTCAGCCTATTTACTTCATCAGTCTAATTAAGACCAATTAAAGCTAGATTCCTTGGGACATGGGTTTCATAAATGTAACTAAGACTTTAGATTATCAATTACCCCACCTACAATAAACTTCGGCCTTGCTCTTTGGCAGTCAGACTCAGAATGGTTAACACCTACCCAGTAGCTGGCACACAGAAGGAATTAAATTAGTGCTTCTCAATGCATCACCACTAACAGCCACTGCTTAGTCAGCAAATCCCCACGCCAGGCAGGAATTAAGCATTGTGCATGTGGTCTCTTACTCCTCACAACAACCTTATTAAATATCTCCATTTTACAGATAAAGAAACTAAGGCTTAAAATAAATTAACAGCTGCTACATGGCCCAGAAGGAATTTGAGCTCAGGTGTCTCTCTCTCTCTCTCTCTCTCTCTCTCATCAGTTCCCCGCTGAACTTTTCCACAGAGTGCAGAGTTTGGGACACTGGACCGGAAGTTGTGGGGTCTCAACTCACTGGCTGTTATTTACACCCACATCCGTTACAGACAAAGGTGACAACTGATGTGATTACGGCCTGGGTGCATTGGTTCTCCTGGGAGGGCACAAGCTGCTCCTGAAGCTGGAACACTTTACCAAAAGAAGGGGACGGGACAGGATTTAACATAAACCACAGCCCCCGACAGTGTGGTTACTGCCACACTCTTAAGCTCTAGGGAAAGATACACTCCTGGGTCTGATCAGCCACTCCCCTCTGTCAGCCTCCTAAGCAGAGCATTTCTAGAAGGCAGCAGACTCCAGCGACGGGCTTATTCTTACCCACAGGATCACCTGCAGCGGCAATAACAGCAGTAACAAGTTTTAGCAAGCATGCTGCTTAGTGACAGAGATTCCTGGCTAGCGTCACATTTTGCAAGTCTCCATCCCAAAGATATTTTCTTGGCCCAGTACATCCCCTTCACAATGTTGGCTTGAACAACTATTCCAAGGAAGCCATCACCTTCAGCAGGCGTCAGGTGCAAGAGAACACCAGGCTGAATGTCTTCCCTCTGCTAGCCCACAACCACTGCAGCTCCAACCAGTTCAAATTCTCCATGTGGGTGGATGCACATTTACACTCCCCTAAGTATCCAGAGACACCAAACGTCATGCATTAACTGAGGTAACAGTAACCGCCTTTCATTTCAGATTTACAGCTTAACAATTATTTCTCCAAAGAGAAGGCAGAGCATAAGCAGCTAGCCAGCCCCGCAGACCACCAGCCCTCAGCCTCCCCACCCCCAACGAATTTCTTTGCTTCACTAGCAGGTGTTACCAGAAAAATCTGACATGAAGATTCACCAATTCCAAAGTTGTTAATTGCAGAAATCAAGAGGTTTCCTCCAACTCTAAATCCCATTCGACCCTCATAAACACAAAGTCCCCTCTTTACGTGGCTGCACTTTGCTTTCTCCGGTCTGTTGGTCCTGGAAGGACCTCGGTTCAACTAAAAGCCTTAGGGGAGGAGGGAACTTGTGTGAGTTTATTTTTCAGTAGCACAGATCAAGACGAAGGCCCACAGCGATTAAGACGGGCTAAGCTCCCAAACCCTCTCTAGCCTAAAGAGTTTGATCATGTGGGAACCAAAGACTAAGAAAGAAAAAGAGAAGCTAAGCAGTGCCAGTCCCCACTTTCTCCCGGGAGGAACACCGCTATACTATTGGGGCGGGGGGGTGGGCAGTGATCTTCCAAACTCTGTTTGCAAAGCCCCAGCCCAGATCGGATATTTTGCTTTAACCCCTCGGCTTGGGCCTGCCCAATGCAAAGGCCCAAAGGGTCTTTGGGTACCGCCGGCCGGGGGGACCGAGCACACCACTCATAGGGTCTTGTTTTCTCAGCTGATCTAGTCATGCGAACAGGTGCTTGGTCAATTCCATCTTTAAAAAGGGGGGGAGGGGTATGTAAGAGTAGCTCCCACAGGAGCGCCCGCCGTGGGAGGGAAAGCCACGCAGGACAGAATGAAAAGTGGCTTTCCAACTTCTGCGGGGCTCCCGAGTCTGCGGGGAAGCCGGGTGTTGCGTGAGGCTGGGAAAGGCCTGGATCTTCCGGAACAACGCTCGCAGCAAGCCCACAGCAGCGACACGGCGGCCCTACCCCCCGGGTCACCACCCCCCCGCCCCAAACACACACGTGAAGCTCAGCAAAGCGTGCCACCTGCTGGGTTCCCAGCAAACATGCCCGAAGGGAAGGATCGCCGGAAAACACTTTGTTTAAAAAGAAAAAAAAAAAAAGTAAACTCTCCCGGGGCCGAGAACAGCCCCGCCTGGCACGGGGGCCGCGGTCCGCGGGGCTCGGCCCCCGGGTCCTCCGGTTTCTAGGGCTGAACGGGGGGAGGCGCCGCGACCGGCCGCGCTCCCCCGGGGGCCGGCGGAGTCCCGGGCGCGGCAGCGGCACGGGCAGGGCCGGCGGGCGGGAACGCGGCGCGCCCTCGCCCCTGCTCGCGCGCGGGCCGGCGCCCTGGAGGGGGTGGGAAGTCGGGGAACTTACAGCCGCCTGTCCTCGGGCTCCAGCTGCCGGTGCATGGCCAGCGAGAAGCCGAAGAGGCTCCCGGGGTCCCCCGTTTTCCGGATCACATTGTCCTCGCGGGTGTCCAAATTGAAGGCGGCGCCGAGCCGGGGCAGGAGCCCCGCCGACAGGTAAAGCAGCCACAGCTGCCCCGCGGCCGCCATGGGCAGACGCACCGGGAGGGGGAGCGGGAGCCGCGGCGGCCGCGCTGCGCTCCGGGCCGGGTTCGAGGCTGCCGCGCTGCTGCTGCCGCCGCCGCCGCCGCCGCGGCCACCTTCGTCTCCTCTGGCCACCGCGCCGGCCCCACCCCCGGGACGAGTCGCGCTAGCCGCCCGGCCGCTCCCCCTCGCGGGCAGCTCCCGACCGCTGAATGAGCCCGTTGTTCTCTGGAGACTCGCAGGCGTTTTATCAAGTGACGAGGACGCCGGCCCCGCCCCTCCCCACCCCTCCCCACCCCTCAGGCCCCTCCTCGCGCGCCCGCCGCCCGGCCCCGCTGCCTGCACCTTCCCGGCCGGCCTGGCTGCGCGGCGCCCCGGCGCTGCCCCTCCGCGGCCAGCCGCTCGCCTGTCCCGCCGCAGCCCACCTGGTCGCGAAGCAGGCGTGGGAGACCGGGGTGCTCGGGGGAGGCGAACTCCCGGCCCAGCAGCCCCATGGGGGTCCTCCGGGAAAGAAGCATTGGAATTGTGGTTGCCATTCGGCGCAGAGCCGCGTTTACTACCTGTTCGCAAGGAGACGTACTGGGGGTGCGCCGGCCCCGATCTCCGGATTCTCACCCACCGAAGCCCACGTGCAAATGCTCACTTCATTCATTCAGTCCACAAGTGCTTCTGGAGCGCTTAACGCTTGCCAGATACTTGGGGAAGGGAGCTGCATGGATTTTCAGCCCTCAAAGAACTAACCGTCAAAAATTATAATAGCCCAAACTCTAATAGTGCTGTACAATTTATATAGCTCATTTGATAGCTCATTTAGCCCTCCTAACAATCCGCAGATCAGAAAACTGAAGCTCAGCCTTGACCCTGAGCACCCAGGGATCTGCCCCGATGAAAAGGAGAGCTTTGGGGAGAAGTCACACCGCTGTCAGCAATTTAAAACTTGGTTTCTAGGTGCTCTGAAGCGGAGAAGCAGCTCCTCAACAGTGAAGGATGGGTGTGTAAGGTGGTACCTACGAGCTCAGGAGCCCTTCTTTCCTGCCCCCAAATTCCCAGGGCTAGATCCTCGCCAAGAGGCAGCTGGGAGCTCTGGGTGGGTGGCCTAAAGGCTCCTGCCTCCAGAGCATGGGGTGGGGCCTCCAGTGTGGTGTTGACCTCCAGGGCAACTTTATTGGCAGGGGGTCTTAAGCAGGGGAGAGAGAATTCAGGGTTCCTGTGAAATTGGGGTGACAAAAAGTTTTACTTTTTTATTTTCACTAACCTCTAACTGCCATTTAGCCTTTCCTTCCATTATGAATGGAGGCAACACACCACAGTGGCAGTACGATAAGTACCTATGACTTAGTCTCCAGTAAAACCCATAGATTTGTTTGTTTTTTACATCACAGTATAATTGTTGCAATATCTTCAGTTATAGTAGTTGTTAGGTAGACCCTCCACTAGACCTTGTTATGCAATAGGCCAATTAAAAAGTGTATATATTGCTACAACACAATTTTTTTAAACATTTTGTTAACTGTATTTCAAAATAATTGGTTTCCTTTGCAATCCCATGTACTTTATGCTTTTAAAAACCTTGTTCTGAAAGGGGATTCATGGTCTTCGGCAGCCTGACAAAAGGGGGTCTCATGGCATTAAAAAAGTTTAAGAAGTGCTAGCTTGAAGGCTCCTGGAATGCCTCGGGGAGCCTGCCTTGGAATCTGATATCCCTGCATTAGAAACAGAAGCAGAGTACAGTCCCAGGGAAGACCTAGAGTTCCGTGTGTGCACATGGGGATAGGGATGGGGGTGCCCTTCACCTAAAGGTGTATTTGTACCAAGGGAGCAGCCCACACCGCACAAAAATGCTGCCTGAACATCATCAAGGGTCCTCGGGTGGTAACAGCTTCCAGAGCAAGTCCTTCAGCATAGGAGGGGCAGGTCCCACTTGTCGTCTACCAATCCATAACTCCAGTCAAGTATAGGCAGAAGTGGGGTGCAGTGAGTTCAAATTCAGTAGACAATGTGGGAGATCACACTGTTTCCACAAATGTGTAATAACCTTGATAAGATTGTGAGACTGTTGGAAACTAATCGAGGAAGCTAAGAAACATCTGTATTATGATTTTTCATGCAAGATAGCTTTTTTTCTTCATGTTGAACACATAACTATTCCCGAGAAACAGGCCCAAGCTATTAGAGTTAGAGCACAGTGAGCCTCACTGCAGGCCGGGTCCCAGTGGGAGCCACTGACGTGGGTGTAGGGTTGCTGAAATACTGCTTTATAAAAGCTCTGCCCTGAGCTCCCCAGGTTCAACTGCCCCCACCCTGGCCACTTTCCTAGGACTCACCAGCCTCCCCACAATACAGCAACTAAAGGTTTAAACCCGTAAGCCTTTGTGCTGCAAGGTTGGGTATGTCCGTGTCATAGCACCTGTTAATGATACAGAATATGAATATCACTCCTTGCATCCAAGGGTAATTCTGTGCACCATTCACTGCTTCCTTCCCAAGATATGTCTATGAGATGACATTTGAATAACCAGTTACCTATTTGATCCCAAATATTGATTGTGCTCCAATTGACATTTTAAATAATGTGAAATTTAAAACAGCAACTAACTATAGAGTGCTACTGAATTGATTGGGAAAAGGAAGGGATAAAGAAAAATAAGGGTGAGAGACTTGTACTGGAGTGTCCCGAGTGCCCATCACCGATGGAAACGTTCAACCACATTCCCACCTTTCACCTATCTCCTGCCTAGGATGCCAAACATACCTGAAGTTGAATCAAACTCAGACTTTTAACAATAATCTCTTTGAAGACTGTCAGCTTTTCCTGATTAACTGTAACAGTCAAGTTTTGCGAATCCGTTGTCATTTCCATGGTAAATAGGGTTAGGCTAATATAAGAGAGCAGTGTCTTATGAAAGGGAGATGGAGAGGTCCTTCAGGATCTGCTGAGGATATTGTCAGTGTCTGGGGCTGAAGAAATAAAAGAAGCAAGAAACGTAAAAATTATGAGGTGAAGATCTGGGGAGGGAAGTACATAGTTTTAATGAAAAAAAATGAATCTGGGACAAGAAGATACTTGTCTGGAACAAAACAGAGAAAGTTAGCTTGATGATAAAGGTGTGCTGACTATATGGGGTGTGGCGGGTGTGTGTGTGTGTGTGTGTACAAAAATTGCAAGAAGGGCTCTACAAATCCAGTTATGAAAAAATCATGTCATGGGCGCCTGGGTGGCTCAGTTGGTTAAGCGACTGCCTTCGGCTCAGGTCATGATCCTGGAGTCCCGGGATTGAGTCCCGCATTGGGCTCCCTGCTTGGCAGGGAGTCTGCTTCTCCCTCTGACCCTCCTCCCTCTCATGCTCTCTGTCTCTCATTCTCTCTCTCTCAAAAAAAAAAAAAAAAATCATGTCATGTTCCAAAAAAGGCTGATTAGAAAACAAACAGGAATACCTAAGAATATGATTATAAAAATCACAGAAAATACTTCTACAAACTGAAAAATTTAAATCAAAAAGGCAGTGGAAGCTTTGAATAGATATTTGCTCAGATGAGAGCTTTTGAATTATATTTTACCAATACACTTTTCAAAAGAAAATTATTTGTCCTATATTCCACCTTTGGTAGGGGAGCTTTCAAATAATTTTAAACTGTTGGTCACCTGCAGAGAAGTCGAAGAAACTCATGTCATGCCTGAAATATTTGCCATTTCCTGGGACCTACTGTAATCATTTTGCTATCAAGCTCACTACTGTGCTGACTTCATCATCACCAATAGCAGAGAATATCGTATTTGCTGCTTTTTAGGCAACATGGGAACTAGCTATGGAAAACTTCTCTTTATTCTCTTTTTGTGGTTGCATTATACTGATGGTTTTACATATTCTCTAGAGCACATGATCTGTGGAACCCAAAACACTTGCTTTAAATTCTGCTTCTGTTCCAGCCTGGCCAGATGACCTTAAATCATTTAATCTCTCTCTGCCTGCATTTCCCCAGCTATGAAGTAGGGATAATGATAGCATCTACCCCCAAAGAATTGCCTTGCCTTAAGGATTAGTAAAGTTAACAGGATCTGAAGCACTTGAAATGTTGTATTAAAATCAGAATTTCCACTTGCGTACAGCCTTTCAGAATCTGACTTTCACAAGTTAGGCACTGACCCATGATAAACATACAGTTTTGTGAACTAGACATATGTAGTAAACTTTTCCAGTAGGGATTGTACTATTCAATGCCAGATTTTATGTTTCAGAAAAAGAAAAAGAGTTTTCCATTTTACTCTTTTGTCTCTTTATACAAGTGGTCAGGGGTTTGCCTTCCTCACTGAACCTTACTGTTTTTTGTTTGACATTTCATTTGCTCTAAGTCACAGCACATTTTATAGGGGCAAACCTGCCTTTGGCTGGAATCAGGAGAATCCAAATTGCTAGCTATACCTTATTTAAGACCCAGATCTATTTTTTCCGGTTTTATTGAAAGATAATTGACATATAGCATTGTATAAGTTTAAGGCATACAATATAATGATTATATATATATATATAATAAAACTATATATATATATAGTGAAATAATCATCACAATAAGTTTAGTTAACCCCTGTCACTTCACAGTTCAATTTTTTCCTTGTGATGAGAACTTTTGAGATTTACTCTCTTAGCAACTTTTAAATATAAAATACAGTATCGTTAACTATAGTCAGCATGCTGTGCATTAAATCCCCAGAACTTATTTATGTTATTAGCTGGAAGTTTGTACCTTTGGACAACCCCCCTCCCCAACCTCTACTTGTGGTAACCACCGATCTGTTCTGTTTCTATGAGTTTGGGATTTGGGGGATTTTTCAGATTTTACATATAAGCGAGATGTTACAATATTTGTCTTTCTCAGTCTGACTTATTTCACTTAGCATGACGTCCTCAAATTTCATCCATGTTGTCACAAATGGCAGGATTTCCTTCTTTTTATGGCTGAGTAATATTCTGCTGTATATATGTATATAAATACACCATGTTTTCATTATCAATTAATCCATCAGTGGACATTAAGGTTGTTCACCCAGATCTATTTTAAAGGGCACCTGGGTGGCTCAGTTGGTTAAGCATCTGCCTTCGATTCAGATCATGATCCCAGGGTCCTGGGATCGAGCCCCATGTTGGGCTCTCTGCACAGTGGGGAGTCTGCTTCTCCCTCTCCCTCTGCCTGCTGCTCTTCCTGCTTTCTCTCTTTCTCTCTG